ACACTCCAGTAATAAAATCGACTAGAGTTTACCCTCTTCAGTTCTGGTGGCCAGTTAGTAAGTTAGGGCATGGATGTGTTTACTAGGCACAGCGCTCCTGGCATAAGTCGCTGAGGCCGAAGCCCTCCGTCACAGAGACACTCCTTCGTCTTGACCCAGTCTCTGACAGATGCCACAAGTGTCCAGCTCTGAGGTAGGGCCGCCCCCAGACAGAGGCCAGGCCCTGACACTCCCGTCTGCTCCGATACTCACCTTCAGACCTGACACCTTTCCTCTCCTCCACTCCTCACCCCGCTCCTCACTTCTCTCTCTTCCCTCTGACCCTCTTCTGCCGACCCTCTGCCTAGTTACGACCTTCCACCGCTTCCCATACCCTGTACTCAGACATCACTCGTACCTTCGCTCCGAGATTCCATCATAGTTCCGACCTCGGACTTTGACTCCACCTCGGCCTAAGTCCATTGCATTGGTGACCTCATACTACGTAAACACCATTGCCAATATTCCTCAGACTTCCAACCCTGCCTCCGTAACCTCCGTAACCTCTGAGCTCCACAGATCATCCTCGGCACTTTCGCTGCTTGTAATGTATCTTTTGCATTTTCCCCTCATCCTTATTTGGACTGCTGCTTCTCTCCATTCTAGCCAGTTAGTCATCACCCCCACTTCACCTCATCCTCCTGCCCCTCTGGGCTTCGCCCTCCCTATCTCCTTTCGGATGTACCACAGGTTCTGACCTATGACCTTCGGTCTGTCATCCCTTTGTTCCTGTTTGGATGCCTTCATTCCGATTTGGACCCCCTTTGTTTCCCTTGTGCTTTCATCTCCCTATTATATACAGGCACTTGTACATACTTGTTTTGGACCTTCAGTCTAAAATCGACCTGAAATGCCCCCTAGAGACTTCCTGCTCGCTGCCTCTGAAATTAAGGACCAAATGGACAAACAGCAATGGCACAGCGCTCCGCTTGAGTCACTGAGGCCAAGGTCCCTCCCCGCTAAGCCTCCGGTCCCCCTCCAGAATCATCCGCCCTTGCCCAGTTCTAACAAGAAGCTTGGTCCTGAGTTGGAACCTTCGGAATTCCCAGATTGCTCCGACCTCCTGACAGACCTCCAACATGTTGTTATATACTTCTAAACCCTTCCTCTCTTCATTTCATTAATTGGAGTCGCCCAACATTTCTCAAATATGTAACTCTGGCTTCGGAGCTCCGTTGGCTCTGCTCTCATCATCTTAATTAGTCATCTTCCACTTATAGCATGGCTGACATCTTCTTCCCATTCAGTTGGCTAACTTCCCCTTACCCACTTCTTGTTCCCATTCATTTCCCAGCCTTCTACTCCACCCTCCTTGACCTGACACCTCAGTTCCCTGTTAAAGATATCATTCAGAACCTTTCAGTATCTTTCAGTACTTTTCAGTATCACTTGGACTTTGACTGTTAGAACTGGGTGAGGGTGGACAATTCCAGAGGGGAACCGGAGACTTAGCAAGGAGGGACCTTGGCCTCAGCGACTCATGTGGAGCGCTGTGCCATTGCTGTTTGTCCATTTGGTCCTTAATTTCAGAGGCAGTGAGCAGGAAGTCTCTAGGGGGCATTTCAGGTCGATTTTAGACTGAAGGTCCAAAATGAGTATGCACAAGCGCCTGTATATAATAGGGAGATGAAAGCACAAGGAATCAAAGGGGGTCCGAAATGGAACAAAGGTGTCCGAATGGGAACAAAGGGATGACAGAAGCGGAGCGGCACCGAAAGGTCATAGGTTAGAACCTGTGGTACATCTGAAAGGAGATAGGGAGGGTGAAGCCCAGAGGGGCGGGAAGATGAGGTGAAGTGGGGATGATGACTAACTGGCTAGAATGGAGAGAAGCAGCAGTCCAAATAAGGATGAGGGGAAAGTGCGAAAGATACATTACAATCAGTGAAAGTACCGAGTATGATCTGTGGAGCTTGGAGGTTGCAGAGCTTATGGAGGTTATGGAGGTGCGGTTGAAAGTCTGAGGAATGTAGGCAATGGTGTTTATGTAGTATGAGGTCACCAATGCAATGGACTTAAGCCCAAGGTGGAGTCAAAGTCCGAGGTCGGAACTATGACGGAATCTCAGAGCAAAGGTACGAGTGGTATCTGAGTACAGGGTATGGGACAGCGGTGGAAGGTCGTAACTTGCTGGAGGTTTGGTGGAAGAGGGGAGGAGGGAGGAGAGTGATGAGAAGAGTGGGGAGAGGAGTGGAGGAGGAATGGTGTCAGGTCCGAAGGTGAGTATTGGAGTGGATGGGAGTAGGGTAGGAGAGGGATGGAAGGGTGGAGATGTCATGAGGAGTGAGAGGAGGAGGGTGGCGAGAGGGGTGATGTTCGGTCCGAAGGTGAGTATCAGAACAGATGGAGATAGGGTAGGACTCCGGAGGTGACAAGGATGAGGGTCTGGGAGTTGGTTCGGGATCGGGTATGTATGGATATGACATTGACTAAAGCCCCCCTCTGCCTTTTATATATACCTGTAGATTAGGACTCATTGTACCTCAGTTCTAATCTCGACTACAACTTCACCCCAAGTTCCCCTATGAGTGATTCATGTCCCCCTCCTACAAGATACCTCAGACATCTGAAATTAAGGACTAACTAAGATGTAACGGAGGCACAGCACTCCCCTCCGAGTCGCTGAGGCCATGTCCTTCTTAGTGCCTCTTGTATCAGCCTCCAGACCTGGGCTTCCTGGAGAAGCTTCGGTTCACTACCAGAGCTCTCGGAACCCCCTCTAGTTGAGCCCCATCTGCACCAGGATTGTCGCATTTTGACACGAGCTTCCAGCATGTTCCATATGACTCATCTGGTCATGTCGCAAAGAATAGGAAACACAATATCACAAGCAACAATATAAAACAATAGAAAGTGGCTGTGGAAAACCCAATCTGCATCTCCAGCCCAAACCACTCGACACAACTGCACTCCCTTCATGTCAACCAACTTGCCTAAACTACAGCTATCCAACGCAACAAACCGCATCCAAATGTTTGATGGAGAATTGAGTGAGATAGCGTTGAGGTGGGGAATATCTGGCACATTTTTCTTAACTTTCCAACCACATGTCACCATGGTTCCAAAATTGGCACATCCTCCTGACCATGAACAATGGATATTTATCCCTATTTTTCTGAAGCCTGAGGGATGCCAGGGACCATCTATGCACCCCATTTCCCACGCATGTGCAATGAACATGTGACATGCATCACGATACACAACTGGAATCCACATATCTCTGTGAATACCTCACCGATTCTCCTCATGTAACGTGCGTTGGAATCGCCTCGGTGCCCTCTACCATCCGTACTATAACCTAGTCACCTAATTTCTAGCCAACCTTCCACTGTATGATTTTCTAACATTTTATCCTGCATGAAGAACCTGATATTTAGCTGGTTTTGGGGTGCCCACAGCTACCCTCCTACATATAGGCCTAGCTCTTCATCGTGGTCCCTCACAATATCACCAAAAATCCAAAACAAACAAAAATCCTCCAGCTTAAATAAGCACAAACAGCTCGGCCTCATCCTATTGTACACATATCAGCTCTCCTGCTCCTGAATCCACACTATGATTCTCCAGGTCACACTCAGACTTCATATCTGAGGTGTTTTTTGTTGGAGAATGGATATCTGTTCCCATCAGTATAGAGTTTAACAGCCTATACCGGCATGGTCAAATGGGTGAGTTGTGTAATGGTAGCACACTGAGAGGTCCTGGTTTTGATGCCAGGCTTGTCCATGATTTTATGTCCTTGTCGTGTGACCTGAACTGTATCATTCAGTTGGATCTCACGGAGTAAGTCCTGCTGGACAATGTGAAATTTCTTCATTTTTCCCAAAACTCCAAGGATGTTCTCCACTCTGGTCAGTGCCATGTGACCTGTCAAGGTCTTTGCCTCAACCCGTGACCTGAGTAGGTAACTCGTTCAACAATTCCACAATCTCCTTGAAGCACTCTGATCATGTAAAGTAAATGCAAAATATGACCCTTCATCTCCTGATTTGCCCTCAGTGTGAGCTCTGCTGAGCCAGCCAATCCCTGGCATAAAACCCACCGCAGTTCTTCCATCTTTACTCCATGTCCGAATCCTATGTTCCTGTCAGAGACCTGATCGAGACGAGAGAGTGTCTCCATGATGGAGTGCTTCGGCCTCAGTGACTTATGCCAGGAGTGCTGTGCCAAGTAAACACGTCCATGCCCTAACTTACTAACTGGCCACCAGAACTGAAGAGGGTAAACTCTAGTCGATTTTATTACTGGAGTGTAACCTATGTACAAGTTAAGTATATATAGTTACAGTGAGGGTGGGTCCGCAAATGGTGGAGCCGAGTGGAGCGGAGCTAATGGGGTTTAGACATTAGCTGATTGAATATTACCAACGAGTTGGGTTACAGGGTTAACGGAAAGGCAGGCGATAGGCCTGAAGGTGGGCTTTGCAGGGCAAGCGAGTGTATTGTCCAGCGGAGGCGGGAGTGCGCTAGCGGACGTTGGAGCTGTCCGGAAGCCTTTGGGGCTCCGTACTTAGGGAGGCGTAGGTAATAGATTGAAAGGAGGAGGTGGTGACCATCGAGGGGTACCGAGGGGATTGCAGAATACGGGAGCTCCGAGGTTAGTGAAGAAGGAGCGGAAGTAGACCGGAGGAATCAGAGGGGTCGGAAGTCGATGGCCAGGGATGGATATGACAGTTCCAGTCTGCACTGAGACTGTTTTCCATCATTGCCAATGCATGATCTGCAAAATATCCGCCATCAGAGCCGCCATAACCCATGCCTGTGAGCTCAGACTTCGTCCAGAGGTCCACTGTTCCATAAACCCATATCTTAACAAATCCATTTCAGCTTTATTCCAACATTGCACTAGCATCTGGACTATGATTTCCAACTCGCAGTCTATCTTCTCTGAACCTAGGTGCAACTCTGTATGTCACCTGGGTCCTCCATCTAGGTACTCTCCTTTCATCTCGTTGGTTCCCTTCACTGGAACATGGCCAGAAGCCAGTATTCCTGCTGTGCTTAAACTCGACATCCAACATGAAATGAACTCACAACTAGGGCTGCAAGGCCTTAGCTCCTTAACATTAAACTCGTCACTGGGGCCACAAGGCCAAAATCCTTGCTCTCTGTCCTCTCGTAAAGTGCAGACTGCACTGCCTGGGTCAAAAGGTAACTCCAAACATGTGCATATCCCATCATCATCGTAAGACTCTGTCTCTGGGATTGAAACTACAGGTGCAGAATGGAGTGCTAAGTCCACCTGAACCTCTGCTATGACCTCCTCCTCCAGTACCTCACTGATCACAATTTCTCTTGGCATTTCCGATGCATTTCCATACACTGCCTGAGGCATCTCCTCAGATTCCATCTCCATGTTCACATCCTGTACCATATAATGCACCAATAAATCTTCGACTTTCACTATGCATGTCAACTGAACTCTAAGACCATGACCCATAGGCCTAAGCTCTTTAGAGTAAATATCCCACTGCACATACATCTCTGATCCATGATCCAAAGAATCTGGGTTGTCCAGCGATTCACATATGTCCTCTGTCCCAACCCTAGCCACTTCTATCTACGGCCATCATCCTCCACTACCTCTGATCCTTCGTCACTAACTGTCAGGGCACGGCACGGCGCTCCGCTCCGCTCCGCACCCTCCTGCTGCCCCTCTTTCCTTCTTCCTTTGCCTTCCTTCTTTCTTTCTTTCCTTTCTTTCTTTATACGGACAACCTCTCCCCTTACCCATGTAGCACGGACGTGTCCGGCGCTGAGTACCCCATGTGGATACTGCGCCACCGGATACGCCGCGCATCTTCACTTGTACTTCTCCCCTCTGACACCCGGGACCGCCCGCGGAGCCATCCGCAATAACCCGGCTCCACCCGGGCTGACGTGGCACCCCCCATGTGACCCGTTCCCACCTGTATATAAACCGAGCCGAAGCAGAACCGAAGAAGCAGCCTTCTTCTCACTACTGCTTCAGGCAAGTGTCTTACTTTAGTTTAGCTTAGTCTTTCATCCTAATAACAATCACTACTGCTTCAGCCTAAGAAGCCGGACAGGGACGGGAGCCCAAGTAAGGGCCGTTCGCTATACATTCCCGCCACTCTGCCACCGCCCGGGCCGCTAGCGCTGGGGCTACACCGCTACCCCCGCCTCTCCTGTACCGTCCCTGACAGCAGAAGAAGGCTTCAACTTAGTCTCCCCTGCCTCCTCCAGCATGGTGACCGAGGAGCAGTACCAGGACCTGCTGGCCAGGTTCCAGGAACTGCAAGCGATCCTTGAGAGCAGAATCCAAAACCCACCACCCACACCCGCACCCGTGCCCACACCCGCACCCAAACCCAAAGCACCCAAGGTCACTGCACCCACCACCTTCGCTGGCGCAAGCGAGGACCTTGACTGCTTCAAGGCAGAATGCGGGATCTATTTCCATGTCCGCGCAGCAGAGTTCCCTGACACTCTGTCCCAGATCCTCTTCGTCTTGTCGTACATGAAAGGAGGAGCTGCGGGAGCATGGGCTACACAGCGCACGATCACGCTGCTGACAGCGGGATCTCCCGCAATCACATGGACGACTTTATGGCAGAGCTCGACGCCATGTTCCAAGATCCAAACCACGAAGCCACCGCCCAACAGAAGCTCGCTGCCCTGCAGCAGGGTACTGACTCCATGGACAAAATTATCCAGGAGTTCGAGATCCATGGCCCCACCTCGTGGCTAGGTGATGTAGGGCTGGTAGACCGCTTCGAACAAGCGATCAATGCGTGGCTCCGTGAGAGCATCTATTGCCTGCGCCCCATGCCAAGGACCTGGGCAGAATGGAAACGAGAAGCCACCCTCCTCGACAACCAGTGGTGGCGCTTCCAGGCGATGCAACCCCACCTCCCCCTGTTTAAACTGCCCCTCCCCCTGCGAGACCGCCACCAACAACCCCCCAGCCCTTCGCATGCCCGCCACCCGGACCCCCACTGCAAGCCGCCACTGCCCCCATGACCCCCACAGTCATGGCCCCGCACCCCCAGCTCTGCTCCCTCAGCCAATGGACCTCGACCATTCAAGGGCTGACCTGCGGCAAGGGATGTGCCACAACTGCAACGCCCCAGGGCACTTTGCACGAGACTGCCCCCTCCCAAAAGTTTGCCGAATATGCCGCATGCACCCGGAGGACCTTTGAGCACTAGTGGAAGGGCTGAGAAGCCAGCTGATGGGGACGCCTGAAAGAGACGAAGAGGGAGAAGAAGCAGACCCCCCGGAGGATTTTCGGGAAGGCGACCGGTGAGGGATGCATCCCGGCTGCCTACGAGCAATAGTACCCAGTGTAAATACCGAGATGCACGTGAGTCTGCGCCGTCGCCCAAATTCCACTGGGTAATTGCTAAGAAACAGAGGAAAACCGCATCCTCAACCAAGAAAGGCACAAAAGCTGCTGGCCCACCCCTTGAGGTGGCCGTCTCCCCACCTGCCATCTATGTGCTTGCCAAACAGTCCCCCTGCTCCCTCAACATGAAAGTAAAAGTGACTGCATTACCCTCCCTCACCGCAGTCACCGTTTCGGCACTGTTAGATTCCGGTGCGACTGGGAACTTTGTAAGCCAGACTTCATCCAGAAGCACAGGCTCGAGACGACCCCGCTCCCCCAACCTATCCCAGTGCACAATGTAGATGGAACGCCAAACGAGAATGGGGCCATCACTGAAGAGCTGGAAGCCCTGCTGACGTTCGGGCAACACACAGAGCGGGCCCGCTTCACCGTGGCAAACCTAGGGCAGCAGTCCCTTATCATCGGGCACTCGTGGCTGCTACACCACAACCCAGAGGTCGACTGGGCAGGGCAGAAGGTCACCATGTCCCGCTGCCCCTCCTCCTGCTGGTCATTGCAAGCAGCCGCTGAGCAGACCCCTGAGGTGGAGCCTGGGGACGGGATCTACGCCGCCATAATCCCACCAGAGTGGGGGCATGACCTAAGGGCAATGACCACACTGTCCCAACGCCTAGCGGAAGAAGCCCAAGATGCGGAGGCAAAACCGCTGACGATGGAAGAGCTGGTACCTGAGCACTACAGAGACTTCCAGGATGTATTCTCGAAGGAAGCCTTCGATGTCCTGCCCCCCGGAAGCCTTGGGACCATGCTATTGACCTAACCCCAGACGCCAAGCTCCATAGAGGCAAGACCTTTCCCCTATCCCGACTGGAACAGAAAGAGCTGGATGAGTTCCTACGTGAGAACCTGCAGAATGGGCGCATACGCCCGTCGAAGTCGCTGATGGGTGCCCCCATATTCTTCGTCAAGAAGAAGGATGGGTCCCTGCACCTGGTCCAGGATTACTGAAAGCTCAACGAGATAACAGTCAAGAACTCGTACCCCCTCCCGCTCATTTCTGATGTCCTTGCGCGCCTTCGCAACGCAAAGTACTTCTCGGCACTAGATCTGCACTGGGGGTTCAACAACGTATGGATCAAAGATGGTGACGAGTGGAAAGCAGCGTTTGCAACCAACCAGGGCCTGTTCGAACCCACAGTGATGTTCTTTGGGCTATGCAACTCCCCAGCAACCTTCCAAACCATGATGAACGACATCCTCCGGGACTTCATCGACCGAGAGGTTGTTATCTGCTACATGGACGACATCCTGATCTTCACATCCACCCTAGAGGAGCATCGGAAGGTCGTGCGGGAAGTGCTGGAGACGTTGCGAAGGAGGAAGCTCTTCCTCAAACCGGAAAAGTGCAAGTTTGAACGGCGCCGCATTGAATACCTTGGACTTGTCATCTCCGAGGGTAGCGTTGCCATGGACCCAGTGAAAGTCCAAGGGGTCCTTGACTGGCCGATGCCGACAAAGGTGAAGGAGGTACAATCCTTCCTGGGCTTCCTAAACTTCTACCGTCGCTCCATCAAGGACTTCTCCAAGACGGTGCAGCCACTCCACACCCTGACCCGCAAAGCAAAGACCTGGACATGGGGGGAGAATGAAGAGCGTGCCTTCGGCACCCTCAAGGTCACCATTACCTCCGCCCCCATCCTTGCTTTTCCCACTGACTCCGGCCGCTACAAACTCAAATGCAATGCCTCCAACTTTGCCACTGGCGCCATTCTGTCCCAGCTCCAAACCGACAGCGAGTTCCACCCCATCACCTTCATGTCCAAGAGCTTCACCAAAGTAGAATGCAACTACGAAATCTACGACAAAGAAATGCTCGCGATAGTCCAAGCGCTGGAAGAGTGGCATCATTTCGTAGAAGGGGCTGAGGAGAAGGTCGATATCTACACGGACCACCGCAACCTAGGCTACTTCCGCACCGCGCAGAGGCTGAATCGCCGCCAAGCGTGGTGGTCACTGTTCCTGTCCTGCTTCCACTTCACCCTCATCCACCGACCAGGGAAACTCATGGGGAAGCCGGATGCCCTCTCCCACCTTGCCAACCACCCGAAGGGAAGGGATGACAACGACAGCCTGACCCTCCTACAGCCAGAATGGTTTGAAGCCCATGCGACCGAGGCCATCACAGTAGAGGGAGAAGAGGCGGCCATCCTGGAAAGAATATGTGCGGCGAAGGACCGCGACGAGAAGGTGGTGAAAGCGCTGAAGGAGCTGGGAGATGGAACCCTCAGGACGGATGAATGGAGCAAAGATGGAGAGCTGGTCCTCTACCGCGGAAAGGTATATGTCCTGAAGGACCCGCAACTCCGCCACGACCTGGTGCGGCTACACCACAACGTGCAGGCGACAGGACACCCAGGGTGATGGAAAACCCTGGAGCTCGTCTCCCACGATTACTGGTGGCCCTGGATGGTGGAGTATATAGGCCATTACGTAGCGGGGTGCGACGCCTGCAATTGAGTCAAGTCATTCCCCTCATGGAAGGTGGGGAAGCTCATGCCAAACAAGATCCCCACCTGCCGCTGGCAGGTAATCTCTGTGGATATGATCGGAGAGCTCCCTGAGTCTAAGGGCTACAACGCCATCCTAGTGGTGGTGGACCGCCTATCTAAGTGCATCCACGCAATCCCCACAGTCATGGTGGTAGACTTGGCCGGGATTGCCCAACTCTTCCTCGAACATGTCTGGAAGCATCACGGGCTCCCTGAGGAGATTCTCAGCGACAGAGGGAGCGCCTTCGTCTCTCAGTTCTCCAAAGAGCTAGCGGCCCTGCTAGCGGTCAAGCTGACCCCTTCGGTGCCCTACCACCCGCAGATGGATGGACAGACAGAGCGAGTGAACCAGGAGATAGAAGCCTACCTCCGAGTGTTCGTTAACCACCGCCAGGATGATTGGGCGGACTGGCTCCCACTAGCGGAGTTCTCCCATAATAACCGCATCCACGCCTCAACCCGCCGCACCCCCTTTGACCTTGACACAGGCCAACACCCCAGGATGGGGACGGAACCCACGCGTGCATCAGAAGTCGAAGCCGCAGATGCATTCACCTCGAGACTGATGAAAATGCAGGAAGAGGCAAAGGTGGTGCCAGAGCACGCAGCGGAAGAGATGGC